CTATCTATCTATCTATCTATCTATCTATCTATCTATCTATCTATCTAAATGATATCTGTTTTTATAATGTATAAAACAATAAAAACATTTAAAGAGTAAAATGATAAGTTATTGGTCATTCCAATAATAGCTAAATGAAATGCATTTTTATCAAACTGATCCACACAACAGTTAGAGAAAAAAAAAAATCACACAGATATACCATGTTTTAACTTGTGTCGAAAACCATGTGTAAATAGTGTGGTGAAGAACATGCGCTTTTAACGCTAAATCCACGTGAGAAACGTACACAAAACACCTGTTTTACTCATGTCACGTGTTAATTAAACATGTTTTTATTTATTTATTTTATTAATCTTTATTTCTCTACGACCTTCCCTCAAACTCAATGCCTCCACCGGCCTCCCTCGCCTCCCCTGGCGCAGCAACCTAGGAGATGTGAAGACGCCAAGGCTGTGTCATTCACCTGGAGGCTGTGCTGGGACCCCCACCCACTCCACACACATATGTATTATGTCTCTTTATGTTGCTTTGCTGTGATAGATTTTTTTGATGCCTCAAACCATGCCCTGTCAAGGACACGGTGTGAGATCTGTTTTTATACCTCTCTCCTTATGTTTTCTTCTCTTTTTCTTATCTAAGCCTATTTAAGCATCAGGGGCATCTTAGAAGTTGCAGCCCCATGCGCACTTCTCTCCATCTTTAGGACGGCTATACGAAAAGTAATTTTGTTGTACTTCACTGTGCAAGGACAATAAAAGCATTCTGATTCTGATTTAACCAGGCAAGTCCCATTGAGATCATAGATCTCTTGCAAGCGAAGCCTGGGCCTGAAGGCAGCCTAACATGCATGTTTTTGGTCTGTGGGAGGAAACCGGAGTACCCGGAGACAACCCACGCAAGCACAAGAAGAACATGCAAACTCCATATAGAAAGACCCCAGGTCCAACTGGGGATTGAACCCGGGACCTTCTTGCTGTGAGGCAACAGTGCTAACCACGCCACGACGGCTTAACCAGGCTACGATTTAACCAGGCCAATCCTATTGAGAACCCAGATCTCTTTTTCCAAGGGAGGCCTAAGACCTGAAGGCAGTCTAAACATAAATTATTTTGGACTGTAGGAGGAAACCCACGCAAACACAAGAATAACAACTCCACACTTAACGACCCCAAGCCACAGCCCCGGGCTTGAACCCAATACCTTCACTGTGCATAAAAACGTGATTTTCATATATAGTTTTTGTCATTACCACACAAGGGCACTGTATAACAAAATTAATTTTTCAACTATTTTATAGATCTAAAACAGATGAACACCAGATAGTGCAGTGGAAGCAGTCATATAAATGATGCTCAAAGTGGCAAGAAACTAAATATCTGGCTATTTATTAATTTAGCCAATTTATTAATTTGTTTGTCCCACCAAGCATAAAGACTTGCTTTTATTGATGACAGTGTGAAGTTATTTGGTAATTGATCAGCAACAAAAAAAGACAGATTTGTGCATTTTCACTCAGCGTCTGTTGACTGACATGAAAGCGTATAAGAAAAAAGATTCTTATATACTTTAGGGGTTAAATGAGACTCACTGAACCATATCTTCTAAACTTACAAGAAAATATATTTAGGGCATGTCTCTTTATTATTTTTTAACAATAAAAAGAAGGGAAGACCCAATGACAGGCGTTCACAATACCTAATGTGATCATCCTGATGGATTTCAAAGTGTTTAATCTGCAATACAGAGTCAGAGAGGATGTACTGTCATTTCAGCTACATACAAGTACATATTGAAATGAAACAGCGTTCCTGCAGGATCACAGCACAGATACACAACAGTACTATAATAAATACAAAAAGACATCTAACCTAATCTAAACCAGTAATTAAGAGACAAGACTAGAGACACGTGCTGATTATACATGTGTAGATGGAACATGAGGTAAAAAAAAAAAAAGCCACAATCAGTACAACACAGTAGTTGTGTGTATTTAGGTTGTGTGTGTGTCAGAGTCCATTGTGTGTTTGTGTGATATGGTCCATCCTGTGTGTGTGTCCATCATGAGTAAAAATAAAGTGCTATGTATTGTCATCATTGTATGTTTCCATACAACGTCGAAATTGCTTCTCTGCATTTAACCCATCGCACCTGGGATACACCCAGGTGGAGCAGTGGTGCCCGGTGAGCAATTGGGGATTGGGTGTCTTGCTCACAGACATGGGGGAATGGCTGGGGATTGAATCTGGGACTTTCGGGTCCCGAGTCAGCTGCCCTACTTCTACCCCATTTCTGCCCATGCCTGTGTGTGTCAGAGTCCATCATGTGTGTGTCAGAGTTCAATGTGAATGTGTGTGTCAGAGTCCATCATGTGTGTGTCAGAGTTCAATGTGAATGTGTGTGTCAGAGTCCATCATGTGTGTGTCAGAGTTCTATGTGAATGTGTGTGTGCCAGTTTATTCTGTGTGTGTTTGTGTGTCAGAGTCCAGAGTTGAGGAGTCTGATGGCTTGTGGAATGAAGCTGTTACAGTCTGGTTGTGTTGGTCTGAATGCTGCGGTTCCTTCTCCCAGAGAGCAGGAGAGTAAAAAGTCCATGCGATGGGTTTGATGGGTCCTCCACAATGCTGAGGGCTTTCTGGATGCAGCGGTTGTTGAAAATGTCCACGAGATGGAAGAGAGACCCCGATGATCTTTTCAGCTGTCCTCACTATTCATTGTAGAGTGTTGCGTTCTGATGCAGTGCTATTCCCAAACCAGACAGTGATGCAGCTGCTCAGGATGCTCTCAGTGGTTCCTCTGTAGATGACGGTGAGGATGGGAGATGACAGATGAGCTTTCTTCAGTCTTCTCAGAAAGTAGATGCTGCTGAGTTTTCTTGGTGATGGTGTGAAGGGTCCAGGTAAGATTCTCTTCCAGGTGAACACCAAGGAATTCGGTGCTCTCGATGATCTCCACGTAGGAGCCGTCCATGTTTATATATCTATATGAATTGAATTTTTTTTCAAACAAGATAAAATATAATTTTTTTTCTACTTGTGAGAGGATTAAAAACAAGAAATATGAAAACATTAGTAAAATAATTGAAGCAGAAAATTGTATTGTAAAAAAAACGAGAACAATTGGTACTAATAAAGTTGGGAAAATGTACAATTTGACAATTTAGAACAACTTAATTATGTACATTAATATATATATATACAGTATATATAGGCATTGATTTAAACCTTACTTTGTTCTCATTTTATTGTATGTCTTACTGTTAATTCTCTGAACGACTATCTTGTGTTCATTTATTTTAGTAGGTTCAAAATGAAAAGGTAAATAATCAGAAACATTTTGTTTTTATCATCTGTCATGTTGTGTATGAGTGTTGGTGTACTTTCTTTCCCTTGTTGATCAGAAGCCTCGAGGATAAATCAGTCATTATTACATGAGCCTTTGGTGCACGAGTTTATAGCGTTTGCCCTTAGAAAAATATGAATGTAGTGTTTTGTTTCATTATTTTGTATGTCTAACAAATATTGAGCAAATATTTAAAATACTTGCAAAAGTTGAATGTTCAAAATCAGAACTTAATAAAAACCCCTTTAAAAAATAAAGTTTGCACATGTGGATTAATGAAACTTGCAAGTCATCCTGATGAAGCAAACATTTGCTTTCCTAACAAAAAGAAGAAATGAAACTTGTCCCGTCATTGACTCGCCAAGTCTACTTTTGACAATATTTCAGGGCCTCTCTGGTGTACGTGGGCAGAGTGTTTGGCCCAGACTCAGAACATGAAGCATAAGATGCATTTATCCTCAGAACAGCAGCGTATTGTTTCACTGATTATCCATTTCCAGCACGAGGCCAAAAAGGGCTCAAGCATGTCTCAGTCAGCCCACTAGCTAGAGTCAAAAGTTCAGATTTACAGTAAAGCTGCTTGTTTTATAACTTCCATCCTCTCTTGCATGCTAGCCAAAAACAATCACGTTGAAACCAGTACATTGTAACATATAAATCTGATATTTCAGCGTTCAAATCCGTGTTCTTATGAGTTCCTGTAAGCTCACGTCACATGCAGTGAAAACGAGGCTATATAAGGTTGTTGGGATACGCCACACTCGCTGTTATGCTTAGCAGAAGCCGTGGGGTCGAGTTGTGGCTGGTTTGTGTGTTGCAGGAAGCTAAAACAGAGAAGTCTGTCAGAGCAGCACTGCAAGCATGTGAAGAGTGACCGATGGAACACTTGACACAGAGTTGCTCTCAACTTGAACCGTCACGCTCATATGATACAGCCTGAGGCAAGACATCATGGGTGTTAAGACTATACAGTAAATACATTCACTTGAACATTCACTTAACAAAACAAAACGCTTTACAACACAATTTTTTTTAATCAAATAACTTGCAAAGTGCTTAAAATGATGTAGCTCCACTAGCACCACACATATGGTATTTAACTCACTACACGTTCACTTATCTGTAACTAACTTCAATACATATTTACATGTTTACACACAACATAAGATAAATAATCTTAACTGCAGTGAGCATTTAGACACAAGTGCTGCTGGGTTGCGTCAAACAGTGATAAAGCACAGCAGTCATGTTTATATAACATGCAAGAATGACCGTTACATTTTCCATAACAGTAATACATTAAATTTGTGGAAATAAGTTTAACATGGGATGAAATACATAAAAATAGACATCAATGCTGTTGGCTTCTATTTGTTTCCATACTGACCATACACAGACTCATCAGTCTCCTTATTTGAGACAGATCTGATGTTTTTAATCAAATGCAAACCTTTCTGCCACAAATTAAGGCTAAAGTTCAGAATTAAACCAATGAGTTTTTAGAAGCTAAATGTCAAAAAGGCATGTTTAAAAAAACCAAAACTGAACAGCAAAAATAATTTTACAGTATATGCTACAGGTGTTTGTGTGCAGTTCTGAAGCACCACATTGTCTCCTTGAAAGCCTCACACAATTCAGGCTACATGTCCACAAACACCATGAAGCACCAGCCGAGTCCCCCCACCAGAAACATGGTGATGTGCATGCTGTAGATGATCAGGTCGTTGAGCACACCAAAGTCCAGGCGCCGGTGCCCCAGCAGAAGCAGAATAACTGAGAGTTTGTACTGCAGGCGCAGGAGCACACGCACACTGATGTACTGCAGGAAGAAGACGGCTGAGAGCAGTACCCAGAGCAGGGAGGTCAGCAGACTGCAGCCGAAGTAAAGTAGGAAGCGGAGGAAGCTGTACATGCAGCGAGAGCGCAGGTACAGGTCAAAGTTGTTGTACTTGGTGCGCACCAGCTTGGAAGTGTGCGACGACCCACAGGCCGAGTGCATGCAGGTGGTGTGGGGGCCATGAAAGCTGCGCACCCGCCGTGGGATGGGGATAACAGGCATGGATGGGCTACTGGAGCCCAGTGCAGTCCACAGGTGTGACAGGAGAGATTCTCTGGGAGAGCTGCTTCCTGGGAGGCAGTTATTCATCTGGTTGTAATGACAGGACTGGCTCTTAGCGAGTGGGTCCTGGAGTGATGCTGTCAGTGGGTTTTCTTCTTAATAACAAAGCAACTTCTAGAGTAAAAAACACAATGTTTGTTTAAATTCTTTATGCATGTTAAAATAATTACAACGATGAACACTTGCGTAAAAAAACACACATCTTAGAATAGCTTTAGACCAATGGCTAAATTGATTATAGCTACAATGATCTTTAGTTAAATAAAACTGTCCTGGAAGTAGATGCTGTCAATTGAAATGTATCTCATGAAACTGATTTCTATAGTACTGTTTGTCGTACGTATAAAAAAGCTAAATCACAATTTTAGAAACCAACATAAAATGCAGGCAAACAATAAACACTTAAATACAAGCTTTAAGCTATTAAACCAGAAAACAATTGACTATATCTATCCAAAAGGTTCCGTTATTCATCTGCATCTTACATGAAACAAAACGTCTTCGTCCACAGTAAAATAATCTCACTTGCTTCTTTAGACGTCTACAGGACTTTACGACATTCTGTCGAATCAAGCGAAACATTACCAAAAACATAAACGTCGTTTACATTTAAAAAATGTTATTATTTTAAATATTGTAGCTTTAGCCAGCAGTGACGAAGCCGGTACTTCAAAGTTTCGTCGCTAAATATTTGCGTCACAGGCCGCGCCTTAAAGGGGCAGTGCTCCTTTTTCTGTTCAAGTTCATATCAACTATAGGAAATATAACAAAAGACAGAAATAATATTTTAGTAAAAAAAAAAAAAAAAACTTTTTTGCCACTGTAAATAATACAAGCTACTTTAAAATGAATTCTCCACACAGTTCTGAAACATCTGGAAACAAAACACCTTTCTATTTTTACTTGAGTATATTTGCTTCCTCACTGATTTGCACATTGTGAATGAGAAAGGCTTTTAAAAGCTCTTCAAAATCCTCTTTTACATCTGAAGAAACAGGTTTTGCCCCTAACTTGTGAATTAATAAAACGGCCACTTACTAAAGTAATTTGCAGAACATATTTATATATTTTCATGAGACAACTTATATTTTAAACAGCAGCATCAATGATTGAATATATGCAGTGCCTTGCAAAAGTATTCGGTCCCCTTGAACTCTTCAACCTTTTGCCACATTTCAGGCTTCAAACATAAAGATATAAAATTTTATTTTTTTGTGAAGAATCAACAACAAGTGGGACACAATCGTGAAGTGGAATGAAATTTATTGGATGTGTCAAACTTCTTTAACAAATAAAAAACTGAAAAGTGGGGCGTGTAATATTATTCTGCCCCTTGCGTTAATACTTTGTAGCGCCGCCTTTTGCTGCAGTTCCAGCTGCAAGTCTCTTGGGGTTTGTCTCTATCAGTTTTACACATGGAGACTGAAATTCTTGCCCATTCTTCCTGCAAAACAGCTGGAGCTCAGTGAGGTTGGACGAAGAGCGTTTGTGAACAGCAGTCTTCAGCTCTTTCCACAGATTCTCGATTGGATTCAGGTCTGAACTTTGACTTGGCCATTCCAACACCTGGATACGTTTATTTGTGAACCATTCCATTGTAGATTTAGTTTTATGTTTTAGATCATTGTCTTGTTGGAAGATAAATCTCCGTCCCAGTCTCAGGTCTCTTGCTGACTCAAACAGGTTTTCTTCCAGAATGGTCCTGTATTTGGCTCCATCCATCTTCCCATCAATTCTGACCATCTTCCCTGTCCCTGCTGATGAAAAGCAGGCCCAAACCATGATGCTGCCACCACCATGTTTGACAGAGGCGATGGTGTGTTCAGGGTGTTGAGCTGTGTTGCTTTTATGCCAAACATATCGTTTTGCATTGTGGCCAAACAGTTTGATTTGGTTTCATGTGACCAGAGCACCTTCTTCCACATGTTTGGTGTGTCTCCCAGGTGCTTGTGGCAAACTTTAAACAACACTTTTTATGGATATCTTTGAGAAATGGCTTTCTTCTTGCCACTCTTCCATAAAGGCCAGATTTGTACAGTGTACGACTGATTGTTGTCCTATGGACAGACTCTCCCACCTCAGCTGTAGATCTCTGCAGTTCATCCAGAGTGATCATGGGCCTCTTGGCTGCATCTCTGATCAGTCTTCTCCTTGTTCCAGATGAAAGTTTAGAGGGACGGCCGGGTCTTGGTAGATTTGCAGTGGTCTGATACTCCTTCCATTTCAATATGATTGCTTGCACAGTGCTCCTTGGGATGTTTAAAGCTTGGGAAATCTTTTTGTATCCAAATCCGGCTTTAAACTTCTCCACAACTGTATCTGAGACCTACATGGTGTGTTCCTTGGTCTTCATGATGCTCTCTGCGCTTTGAACAGAACCCTGAGACGATCACAGAGCAGGTGCATTTATACGGAGACTTGATTACACACAGGTGGATTCTATTTATCATCATCAGTCATTTGGGACAACATTGGATCATTCATAGATCCTCACTGAACTTCTGGAGTGAGTTTGCTGCACTGAAAGTAAAGGGGCCCAATAATATTGCACGTCCCACTTTTCAGTTTTTTTATTTGTTAAAAAAGTTTGACACATCCAATAAATTTCATTCCACTTCACGATTGTGTTCCACTTGTTGTTGATTCTTCACAAAAAATAAAAAATTTATATCTTTATGTTTGAAGCCTGAAATGTGTCAAAAGGTTGAAAAGTTCAAGGGGGCCGAATACTTTTGCAAGGCACTGTACTTAAAATATGGTCATGTTTGGTTAGAACCAGGCTCAAGACAAGCAGCCATTTCCTCAACTGATTGGGGCTTGAGAGTGCAGGAAAAAGATTGCTCCAGGTGTAGTTTCAAAGAGAAGAAACAAATATCAGGCTAATGACAGCAATAACTGCAAATATAAACATGGACAGTAGAGAGATTAATGACAGAGAGAGGAAATGTGGTCAGTTTGTCCTCAAGTCTGAGACTATAGCAGCACAAGGGGTAGGCCAGGGAACCCAAGCCTACATCGGCAGTCAATTTATTATTTATTTATTGTAACCAACAAAGCAAAGTCTTACGTTTTAAAAGTTGACAGGGTGTCAGCCTGGAAACTGGAAGTTGGTTCCACAAGAGAGCAGCCTGTGAACAGAAACTTCTGCATCCTGTTCTAATTTTAATAACTCTAAGAAGCTAAATTAAACCTGCAGTTTGACAGATATAAAATGCAAAATTCAGAGACAAGTACATTGAAGAGACTAATCTATCTCCAATTATTTTCAAATTAACTAGTAATGATAGAAAAAGTTATGCAGTTGTCTAAGAGAGCATTTGCAGAAAATAGTTCATTCTGCTTCAGCTTGTGTTTGTCATTTTTTAATTACGTTGCACCATTTAGTGTGTGCTTCTGTTGTTCCAGTCTAGTCCAATTCAAATAAAAAGGATGAACAAAATAAATAAAAATAAAACAGACATAATTTACTGCAGCAGTGTTGGAGAGACCACAGAAGGTTAGGCCAACCAGTAAAGTGGACGCATATGACTCTGCCTGCAGCCATTTTTAGTGCAAAGTCTTTGTAAAGGGCACATGTGCATCGATATTTATGTGTCTGTAAGGCCAACACAAGGTTGCAACAGTGTGTGGACCTGCACGTCCTCACACTGTAAGTGTGTCTTCAAGCATTTCGCTTCGTATATCATGTAACCTTCACTGTGCCGATTTATGGGTTGCATGAAGGATTACATCTCCGCTATCTGTCTGCAAGCCAGATGGCAGCAGGTGACCGTAAGTCATGATAAATGCAGACATTAAAAAAAGTTTATTGCAGTTGTTAATAGTGTGCTGGGTCACTTTGTCGAGGATTTAAAGGTGTATTAGGCAAAATTAGAAAAACAAACCTCAGAATGTTTAATCAAACGCACGTAAAGCTGTCACCTAGGCTGAATACTTTAATCAGCAGACTTTGCTTTTACGGTATTAGTGCATGTTAAACTGAATGAAGATAGTGCTGGTTGTGCAGCTGGAATGTGTATTTCATAAAATCAGAAGTATATTGCTGAAGGTATGAACGTGCAATCTATGATTTTCCTTAATTTCTTCACCGTGATTTACTGCAGCAATAAAGTTGAACTCTCATGCTGCAGGATGCCTCAGTAGTCTGAGGTTTAAAGGTGATGATTTACAGATGTGCAGGTGTCATCAACCACTGCAACTGCAGCCTTTAATCTAGTATCTTATCATGTCTTCCATGTCCAGCACGTTGTACAGCAGAGAGTATAAATGAAGCATATATTCTCATCTTCTTGTTGAGTATTTTGCATAAAAGCTTTTTGTTGGTGAGTATGTAAAAGCACGGAGTTGGAGCAGCACAATCTTTGATCTTTAAGAAGAGGCTACATTTCATCCTGTTTCAAAATGGGCCTAAATTGTGAGCTTTCAGTCTCATTGTTGTGATGCACAGCATATAACGTAAGTCAATAAAAATAGGTTTATTTTTTATTTTAAAAGCCAAAGTTATATCAAATTAAACAACACACAAATACTGATATACAGTTAAAAGTACATTTCAAAAACCTGGCTGTATATTAATTTAGCAATGCCTTTTCTGCACTAGTTCTGATGATTATATAATCAAATTATTGTATTGTGGCTCCCAATGAAACAAAATGTAAATCGTTAGATACTCCAAAGTTTTAAGCTTTATAAAAAATAAAGTGGTCTGAATTTTCTAACTCACAAAACATCTTGTTTTATCAATCAGTTGCAGCATATTTTGCAAGGAGCTCATTTTAAACACATTATTTCTGCTAGAAAATTCTTCATTTTTATTATTTATATTTAGATAATAAAATATTTGAATAATTCTAAGGCTACATGTTTTTCAGCTGAGATTTTTGTATGTATTAAAAATGCCTCTGGCCCTTAAACTTTTAAAATGTTGCTGAGTTTTTTGGTTTAAAGTTAACAATAAACATAATTACGTTTACCTAAATGCAGTAAATGCAAATGTGCATGAATTATATTTAGTATTGATTTATAACCTTAAAAGATTGTAAGTGACAATTAAGCCCATGGTTTAGAAGTAAATACATAAATAATTGATCTAATAAGGTAACTTATTTCAAGAAAAAAAAGTTAAAAGATGAGAAATTTCTCAATTGTAGCAGAACTTTATTGTCGTGTTTTGCAAGAGTGAAATTACTATAAAATAATTTATTTAATTTCCCCATTTCACATCATCTGAATGTTTAAAGTCCAAGTCTGAGGTTCAAAATATTCAAAGTAAAAACTTTAATAAAAGTTTAATTTTTATATATTTTTAAGAAGAATTTTCCCCTTTTTCTTGTTATTTCGAATTTTATTTTTAAAGATTTTTTTTTCTTTTAGCCATGACATAGTCCATTTAATTTTAATTCTAAATTTTAATCAAACATGGACTTCGTCTTAATTTTTGACCACAAGGGGGCGCTGTTTGTCCATATTTAACCGGGTTCACCGTCACTTTTCAGTCCACTGAACTCATTCAAGGAACAGGCAGCAAGCCATCCCTTAATCCCCCCATATAGGCCTTTTTGAACTA